ATCTGTTTTGTTAACTAACTTGATTATGTATTTTAAGAATGTTTTACAGCATGTTATATTGTTAGTCCAAAGGTGACTTTATAATGATGCATCTAGGATCTTACCGTAATATTGTTTATTTGGTTTTGACTTTAATTACGGAACATCTGATTGGTAGCCCATGCTAATTAGATGAATATGTTATCATCCAGTGTCTACATGCACTATGTTTGGATGATATTAAAATATGTTATTTTATGTTTCTGCAGTTTTAAATGTCTCAACTCTTTCGAGTCAATTGTCTGCTATTTCGGATAATGAAAATGCTAAAGGTTTAATGGATGCCATAGGAATGAGATTTGTTGAGTCTGATAAAGCTGAAAATATGAGATATGATGGTGCAAGAGGAGCTTTGGCCTTAGTTTGTTTTTAGTCTTCTTTTGTGGATGTTCCTTTAAATTCTTGGTGGTTAGACTCGGGAGCCAGTATTCATATTGTGAATTTCTTACAGAGGTTCACAAGCAAACGGAGACTTAGTGAGAATGAAGTAAGTCTGTGCGTTGGGAATTGAGTTCAAGTGAAGGTTGAGTTCATAGGAGTAGTGAAGTTGTCTTTGGAGTTTGGTTTCTCCCTTGTCTTAGATAATACTATTTTTGTGCTGACAATAAGACGGAATTTAATTTCTATATCGAAACTTAATACTTCTGGTTTTTCCTTTATTTTTGGTAAATGAATGGTTGAATTGTTTCATGATTCTCGCTTGATTGGAAATGGCCTCTTATGTGATGGTTTATATAAATTGTTTTTGGCTTCTTTTGGTGAAGTCTCTTGTGTTGTAAATGTGTCAAAGAAAATGTCTCTAATTCGTGAATCATCCTCCATGTTATGGCATAAGCAGTTAGGTCACATTTCAAAAGATAGAATTGAGAGATTAGTTAAAGTTGAGATACTTTCCTATCTCGACTTTTCCGATTTTGACACTTGTGTGGATTGTATAAGAGGAAAGTTGACTAAATCCACTAGGAAAAGTTCCACTAGAGTGATGGTATTTTGAACTTAATACATATTGATATTAGTGGACCTTTGCCTTCCACCATATGTGGGAACAAATAATTTATAACCATTATTGATGATTTTCGCGATATGGATATGTTTACTTGA